TACGTAGACGACCCAGAAGGACTTGAACTGGCCAGAGAACCGCGCAGACTCATTGCAAGCATCCCAATGCCGTTCTGTAATTTCCTGCACTTGAGAGATCACGGACTGCCCCAGGTTGTAAGTAATGGACAGAATAATGTAGGTAACTTACCCAGTGACTTCCCAAAACTTAGAATTGATGGCATTAATTTACAAGAGTGGTATCAACAGCTTCAGGTTATTTTCATGAAAGAAAATTTACTATTCTTTATAACTAGCCCTCCAAGAAGACCTTGGACTTTAAAAATAGATTGTTTACATCATAGAGCATTTTTCATAATAATATCTAGCGTGTCTCCTGCAATGTATCATAGCATCAAACCAAACCTAACTGTATCAGAAATAATTCAATGCATGTTTAATCTATTTCACAGCGATAGCGTAGCTACAACCACAAGAATGTCTAAGGATTTCTTTTCCTCTAGAGTAAAACCAGGGGTTTCTATAAGTGAGCATTTGATAAATCTAAACAAAATAAGAGCTGAGCTACAATTGAGGGGGGAAGTGATTTCAGATCAAACAATGAAAAGTGTTATTATCAATTCACTTGATCCATCATGGGATAGCTTTATGTCACACTTAGATACCATTAATTTGGGATATTTATCCATAGAAAGTCTATCTAACAAATTGATAGCAGAAGACAATTCAAGAAAAAATCGATCCAGTAACCAAACAGACCACAAACCTTTTAGGAAAGTAGTCTTTCAAGATAAACATAATGAGGCCTTTAGATGCTACAATTGTGGATCCAGGGAACATAGTAGAAGAGACTGCCCCAAAGTCTCAAGAGAGAGACATAGACCAGAATATAGGAGCAAATATAATTACAGACAATCTTCCACAGATAGACACAAATATAGAAGCCCACCAAATTACAAAGAAGGTAGAGGGGGTAGAGAAAATTCAAAAGAGAGGAAATCTGGGTCACTGAATGGGCTAAATAAACAAGACAGCACCAGAACACAGCAGGATGAGAATAACAATTGGCTTATTGATTCTGGTGCAACAAATCACACCACCAACAACAAAAGTATATTATCTTCATTTATAGAAGATAAGTTTGTGATAAAGGTAGCTAATCAAGAAAAGGTTCAAGTACTAGGCAAAGGAAATGTGACCTTGCCTGGTCTAGGGAAAATAGAGGGGGTATTATTAATCCCAGAAATACCTCACAACATACTAAGTGCCATAAAATTAAGCAGAGAATCTGATATCAATATAGTTTTCTCAAAGGGGAAAGCAACTATAGAAAAGAACAAAACAAATGTAGGTACTGTAATGATAAAAGGAGGTCTACCCTATCTGATAACTAAAGAAAGATGTTTACATAACATTGATTCAAATATGGAAGATTGTATTGAAGCAGATGATGAAAATGTCAGTAACAGTGACAATGATGAGTGTAGAATAACTCATGATCACAAAAATACATACAAGGAAAAGAAACCAAAAATAGGTAAACCAATTCATGATGAGTGTGCTCACATCTTACACAGGAAGTTAGGACATGCAAGCTTTCCTGTAGTACAAAAAATGACTGAACACGCAGAAGGTGTCAAAATAAAAAATTGTGAAAATTATTTGGAATGCTCAGTATGTAAGTCCACCAAACTAAAAACCAGTCCCAGACCAAAAAAATCTAACAGATCAACTAACAATATTTTTGATTTGGTACATATGGACTTAGTTGGTCCATTAAGTCCCTCAATTACCTATAGAAAACGTTACTTCCTAACAATAGTGGATGACTACAGCCGATATGGTTTTGTTTACACATTAAAGCACAAGGATGAAACATTTCAGAAATTTAAGGAATTCTACAAACGTATAGAAACACAACATAATATCAGAATAAAGCAAATTATGACAGATAGGGGATGTGAGTTCATGTCTAAAGAATTCTCCCAATGGTTAAAGGATAGAGGAATGTTACATTTCACGTCCAATCCTTTTTCTGCATTTCAAAATGGAGTTGCAGAGAGGAAAAATTCCACACTACAAACCATGATTAGGTGCACATTAGAGGATGCTGGTTTAGGCAAACAATTTTGGTCAGAGGCATTACATTATTCGAATTACACTCAAAATAGAACCTGGTCCAGTATTGTGAATAAGACACCATATGAGGTGATGTACAATAGAAAACCCAAATTATCACACATGCACATATTTGGAGTCACTGCAGACGTACACATACCTAAACAATTGAGGAGAAAGGGAGAAAACGTATCCAGGAGATTAAGATTCATGGGATACGAAACTGGAACCAAAGGGTACAGATTTATTGATAGTAATAACAAATTTATAGTATCCAGAACAGCTGTGTTCCATGAACAGGCCAATTGGTCAAAATTGCACCTTAATGAAATATTTCCTAATAAATGTAAAGATACGATATCTTGCGAGGAAGGAACAACAGAAAATCAAAATATTAACAAAAGTAAGAACAAAACCAAAACTTGGACTAATAGTCAGCATAAAATAAAGACAGACACATTAACAAAAAAGGAAGCTAGATATTTGCATGATAACCATAGCAAGCCTGAAAGAACTATTAGAAACAATAGAAACCAAATACCAAATAAATACAAAGATTACATAATGCATATGAATGGAGAACAAATAACACCTAATACATATGAAGAAGTATTGAAACTTCCACATGAAGAAAGAGAAAAATGGGAACTAGCTATGGAAAAAGAGATGGAAAGTTTACAAGGATTAAATGTATTCACACCTGCGATCGCACCTAAGGATAAAACAATTATAGGTACCAGGTGGATTTATAAAATTAAGAACTTAGAAGGAGGCAATACCTTATACAAGGCTAGACTAGTTGCACAAGGCTATGCACAAAAATATCCAGAAGACTATACTGATACATATTCACCCACAGTGAGAACAGAGAGTGTCAAAACAGCCCTTGTAGTAGCATCTGCACTCAATCTGGACGTATTCCAATATGACATACAGACCGCATACTTACATGCAAAATTAGATAAGGAAATATATGTAAGAGCACCACACAGTCAATACACTAATAAGAACGAAATTTGGTTATTAAATAAGAGTCTGTACGGATTAAAGCAATCCGGCAAAAGATGGTACGATTGCTTGGTAAAAGTACTTAAGACCATGGATTTCAACGCCACCACTGCTGATAACTGTTTCTTTGTAAAAAAGAGTAATGATCATATTGAATTTGTATTAATTTACGTGGACGATATTTTATACATTGGAAAGCATAAAGAGAGCAGGGAAATCTTTGTAAATAAGTTAAATGAACACTTCTCACTGAAATCTCTGGGTAAAGTGAATAAATACCTTGGTGTGCAAATTAACAAAACTAAAAGGGGATTCAAACTTACACAGAAAGATAAAATCATCGAACTCCTAAACAAATGTAACTTAAATAATGCTAAAACCTGTGACACCCCTATGCAAACTGATTTTCTTAGAAACACTGATGAATCTTCCCCTGAGTTTAAAGACAACACCTTTTACAGATCAGTTATAGGTTCACTCCTTTATATATCTAATTGGACTAGGCCAGATATTGCATTACCTCTCAATCTATTGTCAAGATATGTTAGTAAACCAACCTTGTATCATTGGGAAGCTGTCAAAAGAATTCTAAGATATCTGAAGGGTACATTAGATTTTTGTTTAATGTTGGAACCCAATAATGACAGAGAACCAAAAATTACTTGTTATGCTGATGCAGATTGGGCTGGTGATACATCATGCAGGAAGAGTACTTCTGGTTATGTTTTTCTATTGAATGATTGTCCAGTTTACTGGTATACTGGTAAACAAGAACTAGTAGCCACTTCTACTACAGAAGCGGAATATGTTTGTTTGTCCAAGGCTGCAAATAACCTTGTATGGTTCAATGATCTGATCACTGATGTTTGGAAGAAACCCACCTTACCATTTATTATGCATGAAGACAATAAAGCGGCCATTGAGATATCCAGATCCGATGCAATTGGACAAAGGTCCAGGCATATTGATATAAAGTTTAAGCATGTGAGACAACTGTCTCAAGACGGATTCATTAAAGCAATACATTGCGATACTTCTGAACAATTAGCTGACATATTAACAAAACCCTTACCTTCTAAACAACACAAATATTTAACTTCTAAATTATATGTATTATATTGTCCTGAATCAGAATGTAATTGGTGTTGTGTAACGAACCGGCATTTAGAGGGGGATTTGTCAGATGTAAATGCCTTATTCTCCAATGTGTGAATAATGTATATATGGAACATCAGAGGTTAACTTATTCTTTGGACTTTAATGTATTCATAACTTACCACTCCCATTCCTAGCTCCACCCCTTGTATATATAAGGAGCCACCCTCACCATTCTCGTTGCTTCTACCTTGAATATTCAGTGAATATAGAATGCCTATCATAATTAAAAAGAAATATATTTAAAGCTCTAACTCCTATTATCTTTATTGAGTCTGATCCTGAAAATATTGCAACACTCCGTTCCCTAGGAACCCATCAACTGAAATCAACCATTAATAAAGGAAAACCTTTGGAAAACCCCACCTCCACTCCCAAACCCTGAAGCCTGTTCAGAAGGATATAATGATTTATATTATCAAAAGCCACTGAGAAATCCAGAAGGGTCAGAATGTTTGCAGGGCTCCTATCAGAGATCATCTGTGAAAGCAACCAATGCCATCTTGGAACTGTACCTCAGCCACCATTACTGTATCTGAATGACAATCATGCTCTCAACAAACTCTCAACAAATATTTGTTATAGAAAAGTTATTTCTCATTTGCTGTGCCTATTAATGGCATTTGGAATGGACAAGTAAATAAGCCAATCAGAAAGCGGCTAATGGGTTTGAAATTCCGTGGATTTTATAATCCCTCCCCTAACTGTCATCGTGACAGTATAAAAGGAGATTCCTGACAGAAAAACTATTATCAGTTAGTAGTCAGTTAGTTTTCAGTTAGAGGGCAGCTCTGCAGTTCTAAATGTCAGTTAGTAGTCAGTTAGAAGTCAGTTAGAGGGCAGTTCTAAAGGCCAGTTCTGCAGTCAATATGCAGTTTAAAGGCAGTTCTGAAGACAGTTAGTCATCAGTAAGTTTGCAGTTAGGAGAGTTAAGATTAAATATCAGAGGTAGATCTGATGTATTAAAAGACTCCTGAGGAAGAATAGCCAGAACTATAATCACATAGAGTGATTCCATATATATATCTGACAGGATATTTAAGAGAAGGAATGACATACTATTTAGTATTTGAACAGATATTGTTTTTATTATTATGTAAATAAAAACAGTTTATTGTGAACTGCTAGTAAATCTCATTTGTTATAGTAAATTGTTATAGAGATAAGGTTTTACAGTACATTGATTTAACTTCCACGACAATATTGTATGCAGGACAAAACTTGTCTAAGATAGTTGGGTCCATGGAGAGCCTCTTTAGAATGAGGTGCATAATCGCATCCTTCAAAGCAAATGGTGGGACCACTGATTCCTTGGGGAAAAAAGCATTAACTCACCCCAAGATCAGATTGCCCTATATCTTTTTCCATATTTATGCAATGATACAACCCAAAAACATTCAGTGTCCTCAGTCTAGAGTGGCACCAAACTCCATAACTCTGGGTGATCTTACTCAGCAGTCTCTGGAGAAAAGATACCATGTTGAAGGACAGCAAAAGTCAACAACAATACTGTGTCTTCCTCAAGCATCATTTTCTGGACATGTCCTGACAGGACAGATCATAATCACTACAGAACACTGCCCTCAAGGGTGTATCTGTAAAGTTTCACTAACATGCTGTACTCCAGCTTCCTTTCTGCAAATGGAGCCAAGGAAGAAGTTGAGGATCCCCAGAGGAAAAGCTGCTTCTCACTGTAATTATCACCATCCTACTCTTTGACATGTATTTATCCTGCTTTTGATGTAAAAGAATCAGGCAGAAGCATCAGAAAAGGATAAATGTTTCAGGTCACTCTCTGTGATGTATGAATTTTAGGACAGGCAGGGGCTGTGCTGTGAAATGTACCCTTCTTTCCTTCCCAGGTGAAGCTTGGTTGGTCTCTGTTTCAACCAGGAAAAGCACTGGCTCTTGTGAGAAGGCTTTTAATTCTTCAACTCTTGTTTTCAAACAGGAAGGGAATTGATTCGGTTCCATGAATTATGAACCTCCTGCTTCTGTTTCTAATGCTACTGTTGTTCCAGCCAACCTCTGGGAAGCTTAGAGTGAAATGTCCACTGACTCTGGAACACCAAGATGGAGAAAAACCATGGAGCTATTACAGACCAGGAGACCATCTCATTAGTATAGTCATCACTGCAACAAAAATATCTCCTATAATGTTCTCTTTCAATGCAGCTCCTTCCAGTCAATCTCACTCGTAAGTCATTCAGGATAACGGAGTTGCATTCCCTCTATTTATAATTCCTTCATTTTGTTCTCCTTATTAAACTTGTTCTTTATACTGCAACACATGGTCTGTCTAATTTCTTGATTCATTTTTGATTCCCATGCTTTCTTTGTCTTATTTTGGGGAAGAGATTCAAATCCAAAGATGGTACAGAAAAAAAAATCTGAAAGAAGTCCACAATATTTTCCTTTCCCTGATCAATTTTGAATTCATGACTTGAATACTGACTTTTGCTTAAATTAGTTATTATTATAGATTTTCTCTGCCCAGTTCATTTCAAATGTAACTATTTTTTGACATTTACTTCTGACCCTTATAGAAATACAGGATGATTTATTTTTAGAATTGGCTTCTGAGTCACTTTTGAAACATCCTCTTCCTTTTATGGTGGTTCTACTTTAACTATTCAATTATTTCAAAATCTGGTTACTGGACAGGAGTTTATCTATTGTACGTTCAAAAGTGCTGTGCTTTATTTCCATTAGTCAAGAAAAATGATAAAAAAATATAAAATATATTTTGCTATTGATAAGGATGGTGATGATAAAATGAACATTTTTTTACAGTAAAGTATCTTCTGATCAGTCTAAACTCCTACGCTTGATTTTCGCTATTCAAGTGGTCAATAAGAATTCCCAGCTCCTGCGCAATCTCACACTTGGCTACAACATCCATGACAACTATTTGAACTCCATTGGCACTTCAGATGCCTTGCTGGACATGCTGTCTACTGGAGAAGCCAATGTTCCCAACTACAGCTGTGGAAGGAAGGATAATCCTTTGGCTTTTTATGATGGAGCTGACAGGGACATCTCCATCCAGATGTCAAGATTAGCAGACCCCTACAAAGTCCCACAGGTCTGTATGTGTGCCTCTCTATCTAGGGAAGTGAGTGGATTGGTAGGACATACAAGCGATAAATCCAACCACATCGATTCTATGGAGTTCAAGAGGTGCTTTTCTCCATGATCACTCTAGTTATGTTGTCTATTGATGAGGTAGACATTGGGGAAGGGGAACACATAAAAGCAATCACATCATCTCATGACACCATCTCCATTGCTTTGGGGGCTTCTGCTGCACACTTGTGAAGGTAAGGAGAGGCTCTGTGTCCAATCAAAGGGTCTTCTATACAAAAGAATCACTGATGGAAAGCTCTCATTTTGTACATCATCTTAGCCACACTAATGATATTTTCAATGATATACAAATACCAGATTCATGAAAAGAATCCCAATGCCTTATCTTAGTTTGTGAGACATATAATACATATAAGACAAACTCTGCCTAAAATCTGGAGTTTGATCCTGACAGGACTCAAGGTTGATTCAACCTTCCATCCTTTCAAGGTTGGTGAAATGAGGGCAAAGATTTTTGGGGGCAATAGGTTGACCGTGTAAACCATCCAGATAGTCCTGCAAAGCATTACGAGGTGGTGCAGGTGGAACAACCTGGAGCTGAATACATTTAAAACTGTAGAGATGAAAGTGTATTTTAGGAGGATCCCTCCTATTCTACCACCTCTTACAATATTAGCCAACACAATATCAACATTAGATATCTTCTAGTGTCGGGGTTCTATAATCTTCATCAACTCAGAAAGTTCAGACTGTTTTTTTAAAGAGTTTTTTATTTTTTAAACAAACAAACATTTAATACATAAGTCATTCCTTCCGTGTGACATCTCGGTGTTATCTCCAATCATTCTTATTTTTTGTTTGTTTGTTATTTCTTCTGTCTTCATTCTCATCAAATCAATTACAACAATTCATCACTAACAAAATATTCTGATTATGGCATTTTTATACATAACTATTAATTTACTTATTTGTATCTCTTTTCTAACCAATAGTAGAATTGATTCCATATCTTAAAGTATTCTGAATCTTCTCTTTCTTTAATCATCAAAGTCAATCTATTCATTTCTGCACAATCTAAAATTTTTTTTAATTACTTCTCCTTCCAAAGGTATTTTCTCTGCTTTCCAGTGTTGTGCATAAAGAATCCTTGCAGCTGTTATTACATGTATAATCAAATAAATATTTTCTTTGCTAATTTTTTCTGGCAGGATACCCAATAGGAACAATTCTAGTTTTAAATCAATATGTTGTTGTATCATTTCTTCCAGCCATATCTTAATTGTATTCCAATAATTCTTGCTTTTTTCCCTTGCCATATAAATTTCCTTATTATCTTATTAAGCTGTTGAAAATAAGTCTTTTCAAGTTTTATCGGTACTGTCTGAAATATGAATAATAATCTTGGTAATATATTCATCTTTATTACTGGAATCCTTCCCATTAGTGACAAATGAAGGTTCTTCCATTTCTCCAAGTCTTTCTCAATTTGTTGTTTTAATCTATAACAATTATCCTCTTTTATCGTTACACATCTTGAAGTTAGATAGACTCCTAAGTATTTAACTTTTTTCACCACTTGTATATCTAAATTTTCTTCTATCTCTCTTTTGTGTTTTTCTATAATATTTTTCACCAGAATTTTTATTTTATCTTTATTTATTTTTAGATCAAACACCTTTCCATAATTCTCTATTTGTTCTAGTAATTTGGGACCTGTTATTTGTGGTTCCTCTAAGATGAATACTAAGTCGTCCACAAAAGCTTGCAGTTTATACTCTTCTTTTTTGATTTTCATCCCTTTTATCTCTTCATTTCACCTCATATTTCTATTTTCTGTCATTTGTCTATTCATCATTATCTTAGCAGATTGTCTGTCATAAATCGTTTTTATAGTGTTTATAAATCTATCCCCATTATTGCCATTATTGAAATCGGTCTATAGTTTTTTATCAATTGTATGTCTCTTTAGGTATAAGTGTTACTTAAGCCTCCCTCCATGATTCTGGCATTCTTGCCTTCATTATTAATTCATTAAATACTTCCAACATTACATTACTCATCCCTTGTAGTGTTTTATATAGTTTAGCTGGTAACCCATCTGGTCCTGGTGCTTTCCCATTTTTTTCTCCTTTTATCACTTCTGTTAATTCCATCATTGTTATTCTGTCTTCTAACATTCCCTTATATTGTTCTGGTATTTTAGGTAAATCTGATTTTTCCAAATATTTTATTATCTCTTCCTCTGAGATCTTTTCTTGGGAATAGAGCTTTCCATAATATTTTTGAATTACTATCGCTAACCACCTTCCTGGTTTGTTTGCATTTCCAAAACATTCTGTTTAGATGCTCTTAATTTATTTGCTAATGATTCCTGTTCATTTAAATTTATTTCATGTTTTTTCAGTTCCATCAGCTTCTTAATTTTTTTTTTTTTATTTTGGATATCTTTTTGGAATTCTTTCTCTAGGTTCTTATACTCCTCTTCCATTCTTATCTGTTTTTGCCTTTTCTTTTTATTCTTTCTTCCCAAATACATTATTGCCAAGCCTCTAATATAATGCTTTCATCTGAAGTGAACGTATTTGTCTTAATACCACAGTTTCTTTATCTTTGTGTTTCAATGCTGTATTTCTTGCTGCTTGTAATATCTCTGTTTTCACTGCCTTCTGGGTAAATCTTACATGTACTTCTCTCGGTAGTTTGTTCCTCATTGCATATCTTGTGTATACTCTGAAGGCCTCGTCAATCTCATTTTAGATCTTTTCCTTGGATTGTTCCAAAACTTCTGATAATATCTCAACAACCATCTCAGGTAAATTTTCTCATTTTTCTTCCTCTATATTTTGAAATCTTAAGTAAAACTCAGAACACTCCATCTCCAACAGAATAATTGACTTTTCAGTTGGTGCCAATTTTTCTTCTAATTTCTCAACCTTCTTTTCTGTCATTTCCACTTTTTCTTCAACTTTCTGGATTCTCTCTTCATTTTTCCTAATCATGGCTTCCATTTCTTTTATTTCCTGTTTTAAGTCATCATGAAGCGATTGTATAAAATTTCTTAATTCCATCATCTCCGAAGTTTTCTGTGTTTCTGTCAATGAGGGACTTGCTGTTGGATGTAGATGTGACGTAAATTTCTTCATATTTATAATCCAAATGCCTAATCCTCCCCAATGGTTGGATTAGCACACACACACATACAAAGAGAATAATAAAAATGAAAATGAAAAATAAAATACAAAAATTAAAAAACAAAAATTCCAATCAACCCCCTCCCTCAGAAATCAAATTTCCAATACCCCATCAGAGAGACAGAGAAAAAGAACAAATTCAACTGCCAAAACTAAAAGATAAAAATACAAATCCAAACAACCAAAAAGGAAAATTTTTCTTCTGACTCTTCCAGTCTTAATCAGATTTCTTGTCAATCTAGTTCTTTTTTAAAAATATTGGAACTCCGTAGTTCCAATATTCCTGATTGGAAGCCTTTTTTAGGCACTATTGACCACGGAGAGGTCAATAGACAAAAGAGGAAATCTCGAGGACCTCGGAGGGACAGCAATCACCCTGAAGATTCAGAGTAATCCTCCTAAATCCACCCGGGAATAAACCAGCCATCCTGGCGGGCCTGAGCATTGACAACTGATTAGTGTGGAAGCGAAGATCAAATAAAGAAGACATCGGTAAGAATTAAAATAAATAACAAGAATAAGAAAGGTATAATTACAAAGAAACGAAAAGAAGCAGGTGATAGTGAGACTCCAAACACCAGCGGTTTTACTGCCAGAGAAGCGGTGAGGGAAAAGAGACTGGAGTGGAAACTTAAAGCTGACAGTGACAGCGCAAATTTGACAGGCAGCGGAGGTGAGTAAAAGCGAAGAAATATTGCGAAAATTAGTGGATTACAAAATTAGAAAAATAAATTGGCTTCGAAGAGGAAAGGATGCACAATTAGAATTGTGATCGTGCTGAGAGACAACAGGGAAAGTGAGACTCAGGAAAAAACCGTGGACTGAGAGATAAGCACACAGTGGAAACCCTAATGAATGGCGGATAAAGGACTTGAAGAAGAGAAACTTTCTCCTTACAATTAGAGACGGCGGTGAGGCAAACCGCACAAGACACAAGACATTGTAACTAGATACCAGAAGGATACACTGAATCCCTCCAAAAAAGGATAGAAATTAGACTTTTTGCTAC